GGCTGCATTAACAGAGGGATAGAATCAAGATCACGTGAAGTATTAATACCACTTTACAATGCCTTGGTAAGGCCACACTTGGAATACTGCATCCAGTTTTGGTCACCACGATGTAAAAAAGATGCTGAGACTCTAGAAAGAGTACAGAGAAGAGCAACAAAGATGATTAGGGGACTGGAGGCTAAAACATATGAGGAACAGTTGCTGGAATTGGGTATGTCTAGTTTAACGAAGAGAAAGATGAGGGGGGACATGATAGCAGTGTTCCAATATCTCAGGGGCTGCCACAAAGAAGAGGGAGTCAAGCTATTCTCCAAGGCGCCTGAAGGCAGGACAAGAAGCAATGGGTGGAAACTAATCAAGGAGAGAAGCAACCTAGAACTAAGGAGAAACTTCCTGACAGAACAATTAACCAATGGAACAAACTGCCTCCAGAAGCGGTGAATGCTCCAACACTGGAAGTTTTTAAGAAGAGACTGGACAGCCATCTGTCCGAAATGGTGTAGGGTTGGACTCGATGACCTCCAAGGTCCCTTCCAACTTTATTATTATTATTATTATTATTATTATTATTATTATTATTATTATTATTATTATTATTATTATTATTATTATTATTATTATTATTATTATTATTACCTTTCCAATTAACCTAAAATTAAAAACTTCTACATTAGTCCAACTGGAGGCTGTGGCTCTTAAATTATAGCTACTGTAAGTTATCCCTCGGGATTCTGCTGACACCAGGTTGTGGGTGTTGTTTTGGAAAAAAGTTCAGCAATGCCATTTCTCCTGGGCATACCTGTTGAACATCTTTTCGCAAACAAATTCTGAATTAAACCTTCTTGGGAGCAGAACAATTACAGTAGCAATAAAAGCAGAACAGGGAGGTGAGAAACAGCAATTCCGCTCCTCTGTTCAATTTGTTCTACACCTGTTATTTATGCACAAATTCTTATGCACTTATGAAAACTAACCACACACCTCATTGTTTCCTCTGCCCAGAAATGCTAACATCTCGTACTTGTTCCATTCCCTAGAGCTATTTCCTATTTCCAGCAAAATGCCCTTTTATTTAATGCTACCGGTTAAAGAAAAAAATAAACATTATTTCCAACGCTGAGGATATTTACACTCATAATTAAGTTGCTCTGTCTAGTTGAATAGATCGGATGTCTATTCAATAAGCAGCTCTGATTATAATATTAGCATGCATAGCTTGCAGAGAGAGGCAAACAATTACCTATCCATCTTGAAGGCTCAGCTGCAAACTCTCTTAGACAAAGCAAGGTGATGCCAATGCAATAAGCCAAGCCCCCTTCTGCCAACACGGGCATCGTTTTTTCCAATAGTCTGGGAAGAAGATCGTCCGAGAGATGAAGACTGACAGCTCCGCCGCTCTATGCCTCCGCGCTTGCAAAGGCATTGGACGCAAGCCCCTTGAATTCGTGCGCCTACTCAAGGCCATTCTTACAGCCCGCCCACGACGGAAGCCATCCTTCCGCCCATTGGTCAGAGATCTTCCCGGTATCAACGATGAGAAGCCACCACAAAAGATGCCAACGAGAAAACCGATCCTTCTTTCCCACTTTCTCGTGCCTCCGGTTTTAAAATCGACCAGAAGCTGCTGCGAGTATTACTTCTCCAAGTCTCCAAGCCTATAGCGCGATGGATTTATACGTGCAATCTTTTACTTCCATCAGGTCTGCTTTTAAGGAGCCCCTTCGGATTCTAAAATCCCTGACGGATTAAAATGCCTCCGCCTGTCTTTATTTTAAAATTTAACATGCAAATCGAGCTAACGGCCCCGAGCAGCTCCAACCTTGGAAATAAGGAGCCGCGCGCGCCTCCACCAAGCTCCGAAGGGACCGCATTGCGCAATAAACAGAATGGCCCTTTCGGCGCGCCCTCTGGTGGCGAGTCTAGAACTTGCTGGTTGCCAGAAGCCGCCGCCGCCGGTGCTGGAGGTAGAGGGATACCCACAATAGTATTTTAATCCATGTTTCTTTTCATGGACGTCAGTTGTGTGGGGAACCCACAATTTTGAAATCATCGTTGAGGTTGTATTTTAAGTTGCTCTCCCTGGCATGAAAAGCACCAGAGTCTAAGTCAGTATTTCTCAACTTCAGCATCTTTAAGAGGTGTGAACTTCAAGTCCCAGAATTCTCCAGTGCTAAGATTAAGAAATGAAGGTTAAGAAGGTTTTTTAAAAAATAGTCCAAATCAGTGATGGCGAACCTTTTAGAGACCGAGTGCCCCAAAACTGGCCCTGCCCCGTTCCACCCCCTGCCCCTCCCCCACTCCATCCCCACCCTGCCTGCCTACAGGGCCACTCACCATCTCCAGGGCCCGCTGTAGATCGCCAAGGTAGCCCAGCAGCGCCATGGCGGCCAGGCCCTCTGCCCTTATCCCGCAGCATCAACTGTGCGTGATGGGGTGTGAGGGCAGAGTCTTGTCTACACTGCCTGGCTGCCATGTCCTTGGCTGCACTGCTCTGCGTGGGCCATGCTCGGGGGCGACTCTCCTCCAGGGAGGCTGCTGGTGAGGAGGGGGTCACGGGGGAGGCAAGGCTGGGGCAACGGCACGTGTGCCACAGAGAGGGCTCCAAGTGCCGCCTCTGGCACCCGTGCCATAGGTTCGCCACCACTGGTCCAAACCATAAATTCCAAAATAGTTTCTGGGCCAAGTACCTTTCCTCCTATAGTCGTGCATTTGATTTCCTTTTTATGAGTAACCAAGTTCCCACTATCCAAAGGACCTATTTAAAAGACTAGTGCCAGCAGCATACACTGTGGCAGCCAAATTTGACAAGAAAGCAGAAAGAATGACTTTAGCATACGTTAAAAAGGTCAGCCTTTACAGCACAATGCTCCCTTCACCATCTTACCACTGTTGACCCCCTCCCAACCCGAGCAGACACTGTTGTCTTGAGAAAGGCCTTGTGAGAGTGCCTAGTCCAGTGCTGTTCAGAAAGTTTTTACAAACTGGGAAAGAAAAGGCACGTTCTGGCAGCAGTAGTTGCTGGTTTACATATGAAATCCACTGACCACTGGAGTTAGATCCAATAAATCAAGAGAATAAGAAATGGTGAATTCATCTGAAGGATTCAGTTTTCATTCTGAACATCAGGATCTTTCTCGGTGTCCTGAAACTATTATTTTGTGAATTATACAGTGTTGTATTTCTGACATCTGCCATTGTGGGTTGTAGCCCACAAAAGCTATGCAGTAACTATAATAAATCTTTCAAGTTTGACAAAACAAGTCCTGTAGGAAGCTGAATATTTGGTAGTTTTAACGGAAAATACTATCCAGAAGGTAATGAGTCAAGTATTATGTCTG